GCGGGATGGGTCTTGACGGTCGGTCGTTGCACGTAGCGGCGGAGGGCTCAATTCAGAATTATATAGGGATAATGGAAAAGAAAATGGAAACCACTATAGTAGAGGGTTTAAGGTTTAAGGTCTAGGGAGCTTCGCCAGGGCCGCTTTCGTACCCAAGCGGCTTGCTGGGAACAGGGAGATTATGATTGGCCGGTCGTCCGGGCTTGCAAGAAAGAGGAAGGACCGATGCCTGAGCCCCACTGGCAGGACAAGGACCCAGCAAACTTTGTACAATTTCCAGGAGTGATGTGGTAGTTTCCCTAAGTAGGGGGCTCCCAATTGTGACACAATATAAACCTAAAGCCCTAAACCTTAAACCCTAAACCCTAAAGCCTAAATATTATCAGAATTATAGGGACCACATTTTATGCCTTTCCAGTTTGTTCTCCACCATTCCATCCCCGCAGTGCCAACCTTAGGCCCTCAACCCCGAACCCGAAACCTTAACCTTAGATCCTAAACCTTTGACCCTAAGCCCGAAGCCCTAAAACCTACATCCTAAATCCTAAACCCTAGACCCGCAACCCTACTCCCTGAGCCCTAAACCCTACATCCCTAACTCCCAAACCTTAAGCCCTAAGCCCTAAACACCCACCATTCGGCAAAGGCAGAGCTCGGCGCGCTACGGTCCGCTCGAGCAGCAGCTGTGGCGCAGCCAGCTGGGTTTCGAGGGATCTGAATCTAGGGCTTAGGGCTTAGGGTTTTAGGGTTTTGGGGTTTTGGTTATTGGGGTTTAGGTTTTTGCAGTTTAGTGTTCCGCCGCCTCAAGTTCCATCATCCACTCGTTAAGCTGCGCATTGCCAATCTAGAGCTCTGCGCCGGATGCCCCAACTGCTACAAATCCTAGACAGACTATCAAAATCTAGAACCCCGAACCTCAAACCCTAACCCGACCCTACGCATCCCGGGCCCTGAATCCGGGATCCTATTTCTTCAATCCAAAACCCTCAAATCCCGTCAATGGGATAGAGGGGGCTATAAGCCCTCAACCCTGAACCCTATGCAAGGGCTATATGGTAGTTCTCCTAAATCAGGGGACCCCAATATAGACCCCAAAATACTATAGCCCTTATTCTAGAGACCCCCAAAATGGTACCCCTAATTTTGGGAAACTACCATATAGGGATACGCAGTGGGGATGGCTACAGGCCTGAAGGTACAGAGCGGTATGGTTGTCATGTGTCAGGGTTCAGGCGGCTCAGTGTTGATAAGAGGATTAGGGTTTAGTTTCTAAGGTTTAGTGTTGAGGGTTCTGTAGAGCTCAGCCATAAGATTAAGGCCCTTCATATGATAATCATAGGGTTCTTATTTTGGAGGGTTTGGATTACGACCAAAATCCTCTCATGAAGAATGATTGGTCTTGCGATCGGGATCCATAAGTTGCTGTGTGAAAGGTGCCCAGGGGGAGCCCACTCTCTAGCGAAGGTTTGGGGCAAGGGGTTCAGGGTTTTGTGTTCAGGGTTTAGGGTTTAAGCTGCAGGGCCTACGGATTACGAGTAGGGTTTAAGGTTCAGGGTTTTTGGCCTTCGATTGGATTCATATTAGAACCTTCAAAAGGAATGAAATGGGTGGTTGTCAAAATTATGGTCCCTTTTTGGATCCCTATTATAATACGGTACCTAATATTTAGGGTACCCAAAAAGGGGACCATAATTTTGACATCCACCCACATGGATAGGGGGCAGGTTTGAGTGAGGGTATCCTTGCTCGCCAAGCTCCCAAGCCGACATCTTGAGCCCTGGGTCTTATTGGGGGTTAGTGGGGAAGAGGGGAAGATACTACATAGGGAGTATATCGGGATTATATTCCGCTATTTTTCGCTACGAATTACCAGTAAGGAACTTTCAGCCCAGTAATTTGGAGAGCTTAATTTGTCTACAGTTGGGCCGCAGTCTTTGTGGAGGAGAAACGTCACGGCTCTCGACTATACTGAGGTTTTGACCTTAAACCCCGAGACCGAAATCTTTGTATCTTGGGGAACACAAAGGAGGAGTACTATTTCCAGCGCATTTTTTATGATTCCTTCTAGACAGCCTTGTGATTCAGTGTTCTTCGGGCTTAAGCCCGGAACTCTACACCTTAAACCCGAAACCCCAAACCCTAAACCATGCCCATGGCAGGCAGATGATTTCGAGACCGACCGGGAAAGGCAGACTAACATGTTACATTGACTTGTCTTAAGTCAGGTTTAAGGCTTAAGCCCTAATATTTCAGAGTTAGGGTCTATGCCAGCGCGCGAACATCCCCTGATAAGCGCTTGCAGCGTACACACCTTGGTTGTATGGTTTCCTTTAGTGCTGTTGCCATAAGGCTTCCCCGCCCGCCCAACCCTTTTATACAGTTCCCTCGTGGTCTACTGAAACGACCGGCTTTGCCTGGATAAGCCCGCGTTTATGATGATATCCATGGCACTGATGACGGAAATTTTCGTATAGATATCCATGAACAGGTAAAGGTCATTCCTGCCGGCTGTCAAGAACCAGGCTACAAGACTCCGAATACTAACCAGCAACTCACTTGCGCCAAGGCTTTTCGGTACAAGACCTCTCGGTTTAGCATAGTGGCATAGGGACTGATTTTGCGTTGCAGCGTAGAATGACTTGTGCTTTATGGGTGGTTGTCAAAATTATGGTCCCCTTTTGGATCCCTATGATAATACGGCACCTAATATTCAGGGTACCCAAAAAGGGACCATAATTTTGACAACCACCCACATTACTATCGGGTTGGGTGCCGAAATTTTCGCCAGTTTCAAGTCGGACTCTGTGGAGACCAAGTTTGCGGTTTAGGGTTTAGGGAGCGGGGGAGAGAGGGTCATCGCAGTAATCATCCTTGTCCTATCATTGCCCTAACACCTCAGCCCTAAACCCTAATCTCCAAGCCTTAAACCCTAAGCCCTAAGTCCTGAACTTAATTAGCCCCCAAACCCTAAACCCTATACCCAAAGCGTAAACCCTAAACTCTGAAACCTAAAACCTAAACCCTAAAACCTAAACCCTAAACCCAAAAACCTCTACCAAAATCATACCTTCATGCGCTGTAACCAGGAATCTAGTAGCCTGAATTCTGCCAGAGCAGCTTCCCTGCTTAGACGCCCAAGAGAATCCAAGCAAGGGTTTAGGGTTTAGGGTGTAAGGTTTAGGGTTTAGGGCTTAGGGTTTAGGGATCAGACTCTCAACCTGAAACTCCAAACCTGAAATCCTAAGCCATGAACCTTTAAGCAGCCCTAAGCCCTGATCGCCCCCCAACCCCAAGTTCTAACCGTTAACCCCTTGCATCAAAGTTGGATCAGAGGAATGCTTTTTTTTCCAGTTCTCCCTTCATCCCCCCAAAAAAATTCTGGCCCCATAAAGTAGTTTTCGTAGGATGCATCATATTACGTGCTTTGTGGGAACCTGCGGCTACCGATGGGTGATGGAACTTAAATACAAAGGTTACAAGCGGATTAGTAAGTCTACTGTTATCCCAATTAACACCCAGTATAAGCCCTGTAACCACTGGTACTACTGGGTTGCAGTTAAGGAACTTAAGCTAAGTTACTACCACAAGGAAAGCCTGTTTATTGTTTACTATATACCCACATTATGGCAAATCATTCTAAGTTCCTTAACAGCAACCCAGAATAAGTTGACTTACTCACACCCTAAACTCTAAATAGTAGCTTCCACTTCATTTTCCATTTTCTATTTCATTTGATTCTCCATTATTGGGGGTAATGTCCCTTATAGACTTACTATGTCCAGCGATCCTCGAAGAAGCTCCTTAATTCAACAATAATAAACCCCCAACACATCTCAATTGTAAACCCGGAACCCCCCAACTGTCAACCCTGAACCCAACAAATCTTAACCCAAAACCTCCAAGCCCCTAAACTCTAAACCTCTAGTCCTCCCTAAGCCTTAAGCCCTAAGTCCTAGCCTGCCGAAAGGATGGATGAGTGGGCAGCGCGCATCCGCGCAACCACCCAAGAGACTGCCCAATTGGAGGCCTCCAGATGAAGGGTCCAAACTTTTGGGGTTTGGGGTAGTTTAGGGTTTGAAGTTTTGGGGTTCAGGGTTTCGGGTTCAAAGTGTTGGGGCTTAGTGTTCACTTTAGTTGCAGGGGCCAGTTTAACATGCGCCACTTTAAAGCCAGTTAATTCTTGCAGTTTCTTGAAGCTACATGGATGGCAGGCGCAAGGGATGAGGTACTTCAATGAGACAGAATCTTTGTCATTCTTGTTAAAACTGGCGTAAAGCAAAAAAACGCACGATGACTTTCATAAGTGTTCGCGTGTTCGCAAGCTGGTACGGAGCCTTGTGTAGCATGAGTTGGGAAACCCGGAAATATCGTTTTACTATAGCGAAAGGTTGATTTTTTAGCATAGCAAAGGATGATCTTGTCATGGATGCTGTGGTGACCCTAAACCCTAAACCCCAAACCCCAAACCCTGAACCCTAAACCCTAAACCCTAAACCCTAAAGGCTGTCAGAAAGTATCGACCTTGCCATGCAAACCAAACCACATTTGAGGAGTCTCTATATAGGGTTTAGGGTTTAGGGTTTAGGGTTAGTGGTAGTTTCCCCAAAATAAGGGGATGCCAATGTAGACCCCAAGATATCATAATCCTTAATATTGGGACCCCCTAATCTTGGGAAACCCCCATATCCCTAAACCCTAAAACCCTAAACCCTAAATGGTAGCTTACTTTTTTTTCGTTTCCAGTATCCCCATATAACCACAATAGAACCCGAATATTCCCCTTCAAAGGTACCCCTAATTTTGGGAAACCCCCAAGTAGGAAGGTGGCGTGAAGTGTACATGTTGAGCTGGTTCTCGTCCCCATGTCTCGTTTGGGTTTAGGGTTTAGAGGCTTCGGGCCAAGTTTTTACATAAGGGAGCGCAAGCTACGCACAGCGCATCTTTTGAAGGATGTGATTTGGAGCATCTCGTGACTTAGTAAGTCTACTCAGTAACAGGGGTTATGCCATTGAAGGCCCGGTGCCCGTGCCTGCTGCTGGTGGTTCTACGCGACTTACGCCGTTGGGTGTGACTGCGAAGCAGGATTCAAAGAGGGACAGCTCCGCGAAGGCGACCCAAGCCCCATGCTGCAAGTGTGGTGAGGACAAGAAGGAGTGCGATGTCTGCAATGAGGGCTGGCTCAACATGCTCACGATGAACAAGCTGCCGCACCTGAAGGGTCGCCAATCGGCAGTTGGATTCATTAGCATTGAGCTTTGCTGTTGCGGTGTTGATGAGCAGCCCAACCGAGGCGTCAATGTGAGTGGCACTAAGACTCCAACCCTCACCGCAAAACCAGTGGCGGGGCCAAAGGGCGGAACGCCCAAGTCCGTGCCGAAGCCACCAGAGGATTCTTATAACGAGGTCATTTTGGATGGTACCCTAAAACCCTGAAACCCTAAAACCCTAAAACCATAAAACCCTAAAACCCCAAAACCCTAAACTTCTTAAGCCCAACGATCATCCAAGTACTGTGATTTGGGTATAGCTGGTGTTGGGACCCGCCTGAGTTTAGGGTTTATTGGCTAGGGGCTCGGGTTGAGGGTCTAGGGTTTATTGGCTAGGGGCTCGGGTTGAGGGTTTAGGGTTTATTGGCTAGGGGCTAGGGTTGAGGGTTTAGGGTTTAAAGTTCGGGCTTAGGCGTTAATGCGGTTGTATACTCATTCTTAATGAGGACGCACATAGCTGGAAACCCCATCGAGAGGGTGAAAACGGACCCAAAGAGGAAACCCTAAACTCCAAAGCCTTAAACAGTTTGGGCCTCATATTCATTCTGAAGCCCCAAACTACACCCTCCTTGCTCACCCTCCACGAAAATGGACCCCGGATAAGGCCCAATCTATGTCTTTTTGACCTTATTCGGGCTCATGAGGCCGTATCTTGATGGGTTGCCTATGGGGGGGGGGGCTTGAGAACCCTAAACCCTAAACCGTTAAACCCTAAACCCCAAACCCTTACAAACCTTCATCTCTTGTCCTTCTGTTCCTTGGATTCTTTCTGCCGCTGCTTGAAGCCCGCAGAAGCGACGGCTTTATTTGAGCCATGGTCTAAACTCCTAGTCTCCCCTGAATAACCTTTATAGCAGTCCCGTATATAATGGGTTGATGAATCCGTCCGTGTGCGCCGTTGTACTTGGAATTCTTGCTTCAGCTGAGCGCAGTGTCCCTCGAAAGCTCTGAGATGGTTGATCAGCAGGTTGGCCAAGGCATGTTTAGGCTTTAGGGTTTAGGGTTTAGGGCTTTGTCGTTGTCTCATTCTGTGTGCTGATGATCCTTGAGGGAATGTGTTTGGCGCATGGAGGATACAATGACCAGACGTCAGATCATTCCTGTGACACCCATGTTCAGTCTGGAACCTGTTTCAAACTTTGGGGCCTCAGCGGCTTCGCGCAGTCTTGGTTGCAGAAAATGTGGCTTCAATGGATGCGGGCGCCCGACATCAGGTGAGCCGAACTTGGACTCGTAGCTTACCTGGTTGAGGGGAATCCTAATAGTAAGGCCCTTAAAAGGAGGGGGTTCAGTAATCACGGGTCTACACCCAAAACCCTAACCCCTAAACCGTAAACTCTGAGCCCTAAACCCTAAACCCCTAAACCCCTAAACCCCTAAACCCCTAAACCCTAACCCCTACGTAAACCCCAAGCCCTAAACCCTAAAGCCGAAGCCCTGAACCCTCAAACCCTAAACCCTAAGCCCTAAACCCCAAACTCTAAACCCTATAAACCCTATAAACCCTAAACCCCAAACCAAGTGACCTCCTCAGTGTCTTGCCTTTCCAGCGAGGCGCAACAGCACATGTCACAGGCTCACCTGAAGGCTGTCTAGGGTTTAGGGTTTAGGATCTAGGATTTAGGGTTTAGGGTTTAGGGTTTAGGGTTTACGGTTTAGGCTTTAGGGTTTAAAGACTTAGGGTTTAGGGTTTAGGGATTTAGGGTTTAGGGTTTAGGGATTTGGGGTTTAGGGTTTAGGATGGCTTAGGGTTTGTTAATGTTAGAGTTGAAGGCTTTTAGGGCTATACACAGGTTATGTAAGGGTTGTGTAGGTGTTATATAGGGACGATGGAAAATATAATGGAAACTATCTAGGGTTTAGGGATTTTTTCGAGTTAGAGTTTGAGGCTTTTAGGGCTTTGGTTTCAGAGTTGAGGGTTTATGGCTTTTTGGTTCAAAGTTCAGGGTTTTAGGGTTTGGGAATTTAGAGCGACAGTGAGGGTTTTAGGGTTTAGGTTTTTAGGGTCTAGGGTTTAGGGCTTTAGGATTAAGAGTTTAGGGTTTTAGGGTTTACAACTTTAGGGTTTGGAGTTTTGAGTTCTAGGGTCTAGGGTTTAGGGTCGAGTTTAGCGTTTTAGAGTTCAGGGTGCAGGATTTTTCAAGAGGCCGCTAACAGGGGCGTAACAAACGGGGGCGTAAGGCCCCCTGCCCCAAACAGGCCCAAATGGCGCAATCGGTCCCAAACGGGCCCATTTTGAATTTTCCCATTTTTGGTCCTTTTTCTCACAAGTCTTGAAAGATAAGT